TACTCTATATTATTAATAAATTATTATTTTATTTAAAAAATACTAAATACAATTTAATTTTTCAGGCAAATTTGCCTGAAATATGATTTAAGAAATAATTTTTATTACTTTAAAAAAAACAAATAACCTTTGCTTTATTAATTTTAATAGTTTTAAATTATTTTTTAAAGTTAGTACTTTTAATTCTAATAATTTTAAAACTTTTAAATTACTATGTACTAACTTGAACATAACTTTTTACAATTTCATTATAACAGTTTTGACAAAACATATTGCCTATTTTTACACAATCTGATAAAGCTTTGTTAGTTTGGCTTTTGACACAATAAATTGCTAACTTTGATAAAATAGAAATACATCTTATTATCTTTGTTTTATACTTTGTATAGTTAAAAGTAATGCTTTTTCGAAACTAATTATAAAAAAAAAATGGTTTCATAAATAAAATGGTGAAACGTTGCAGTTTAAAAAAGTACTTTAAACTGTATAAATTAGTTACCCGGACAATTGATTTACATCAGCCAATTAGACGAAAGTCCTTCTATAAGTGATAAATAGCATCACACACACACATTTTCGAGTTCCTTATTTGGAAAAGTATCTAAAATGGGGTTTAGTTCAAGATTAAGAATATGGCAAGTATTATGGATAAAATTACACCCCGTATTTTTTATTAGTGCTTCAAGATAAGTTTAGATCCTTCTTGGCTAATTTATGTAGATCTTCCAAATAAGGTGATATCTTTATATCGTTCAATTCATCTTGGTAAGACAAATAAATTATTAAACTCTATTTGAGACCTCATTATGTGATCTGCCACTTTATCATCCTGTTATACGTACGTATTACTCCTTTTTACCTTATAAAAGTCAAAATTTTGTTAATAAGTCAATATTTATTAGCATATTAAGCAAGGTTATTCAGAAGAGTATATTCTACGTAAGAGCTTGATATGAATCAACTTTTTATTAATCTATTTGTATTTTTGTTATATAAAAACCTGGCTCTTAAGTTTTTAATTTGGAATCTAAAGGTTCTAAACCTAAATCAAACTTCCAAACTTAAACTAACTTTCCCGTCCCTACATAAGGACCCCTAAAAGTCCCTTGTAAGCTGAGGAGCAATCTGCAAACAGATAAAAGAAACAAATCAAATTAAAAACTTTATATATGCGCATTATCAATTCGAAATATTCAATTTTCACGTCTTCATTAGTCATTTTCACGATTGAATTTGAATTTGTAATAACCTTTTCAAGATGATGAGCTTCTAGTCGTGGTAAAGTGGCTCCAGGATAATCCTTCTTGGCAACTATTGCCGCACGACTAATTGCTTCTGTAAAAATAATTTATGTTACAACCAAATAAATAAATAAATAAATTGTATATAATATACTATATTTTTTCAAGTTAATAAATCACGTAAATTACTGTCGTAAATATATATAAATACCATCAGTAAATAATCGCAAATATTCGGCCGAAAGAAGTAATGCATCTTTTCTTGCTATTTGAAGTCATCATAATGATGATTTAATTGATCAAAGAAATTCGAAATGCATTATTCATTTTACCTTTAGTTTTACGTTTCTTCCACACGGTTTTGAAAATGTCGTTCAAGACTGTCTAAATTTATTATGGGTAATATTAAATATCAATTGTTTTCATGAAAAAAAAAAAGAATTATGAACGTATATAGAGTAAAATTTACTGTATCGAAAGTAATTGGTTCTTCAGAGCTCATTGAGAAATAAAAATTATCGAATTCGCGACTAATGCTAAAAATCAAAGAACGTCCACCGCTGTATGATGTATTAATATGCTATGAACGTGTCGTGACTCGTGGCACACTTCCAAAAGAGGAATAAAGACTAGTTTTAAACAAAAATTAACGTTAATTACCTCTTGAATTTTGGTACGGACGTACCCGATAAAATAACTATATTCAACACTTTATGAATCAAGATTTGAAAATCGACTTTAGTTTTGAGTGCGCAATATCAAAGGAACTTTCTAATCTGACACACGGTAGAAATTGCTTGCACTTTATTTTTAATATAATTTGAAAAAAATGCATACCGGAATTCTGAATTCATCTTCACAGAATGGACTGTATTATCAACCAACCTGCCAAAATAACTCCCAAAAGAACGGTTTGAACGGACATACGAATCAGTCCGCAAACAATTTGTCAAATGGCCCTCATCCTATGCAAGCGATCATCGATAAGATTCCTTTAGCCGACCTTGAAGATATCGGAACAAGAATTGAACCTATTAACCCCAATGTTAAGAATATAATGATTACTGGTGGTGCTGGTTTCCTGTAAGTTGCATTTTCCATTAGTTCTAATATCAGTTAGCTTATTTTCTATTTATAATGTTTATAACTTTAAAATAGTGGTAGTTTCTTGGTCAGAAAGATTTCCGTTTTATATCCAGAATTCAATATTGTAGTTGTAGATAAATTGGATTATTGTGGAAGCTTAAATAATTTAAAGATTATTAAAGGTTTTCCCGGTTATACATTCGTAAAGGTAATTAAATTTACTATCAAATATTTTCGCTTTGATGCAATGTTTAATGATTTGTTTATTTTATAAAAGGGTGATATAACTTCGTCAGATTTCATGTCTTTTATCTTGCGAGAAAAAAAAATCGACACTATTTTTCATCTTGCGGCTCAAACACATGTGGACAATTCTTTTGGTGATTCGTTCGAATTTACCAAGAATAATGTTATGGGAACTCATGTTATGTTAGAAGCTGCAAAAGTTCATGGTATTAAAAGGTTTATTCATGTTAGTACAGATGAAGTTTATGGTGAAGTCGCAAAAACTAGTGTAGGTTATTTCTATTAAAATGTTTATTATTATGCTATATATTAGGACTGTACACAAATCATTTGAATTTAGTCCAATTGACAATACTGTAAATTATCATGTCACTCGTTAAACTATATTAATTTTAACAGCCTGATTGTCATGAAGAATCCATATTAGCTCCATCAAATCCATATTCTGCAACAAAAGCAGCCGCTGAATGTCTTGTAAAAGCTTATCATAAGTCGTTTGGCCTACCAATAATTATCACAAGAAGCAATAATATTTATGGTCCATATCAATATCCTGAAAAAATTTGTTCGAAATTCATTTGTAGTTTAATTCGTGGCGGAAAATGGTACAGTATATATATATATATTTTTTTCATATATATATTGTTTTTTCAAATTCTTAAATTAAATAATTAATTGCGAATCTAAATTTCATTATATGTTAGTTATATTCATGGAGATGGATCCAATTCTCGTAAATATCTATACGCGGGTGATGTTGCTGATGCGCTAGATATAATTTTACATAAGGGACAAGTTGGAGAAATTTATAATATTGGTTCCAATTTTGAAATTTCAAATCTTGAACTTGCTCGGATGTTAATTCGAAAATTCGGTTACAAAGAGGAAGAGCATATTGAATTCGTACAAGATCGTGCATTCAACGACCGACGTTACGCTGTAGATTATCGTAAGTTGAGAGAGTTAGGATGGAAACCTCGTATGGGATGGGAAGAAGGCTTAGAAAAAACGAGTATGTATTTTATTATTGCTTATGTTTAACTGTTTAATATTCATTTTATTAATTTTTCCATTCTTCCATTCTATGTGAATTCATTTTAAAAAGTCGAATGGTATAAAGAACACAGTGATATGTGGTGGGGTGATATTTCTTGTGCATTGGTACCTCACCCTTTGAAGGCATTGCCAGCAATAGATTACTTATTATAATGAAAATAATCAGTTCATTCACAATTTGCATAATCATAAATTTTTTTTTAGTATTAGCATTTAATTTAATATCAATTTAGTACATGGATTTATAGAGTTATAGACTACAATTGATAGACAATGGGATAGAATATTTGTAATTTTTTGTAATTTAATTTCTCAATTTTTGAACAAAAAAAACCCCATTTCAATCTCATTTCTAATCTCGGAAATTTATACACATTTTTTGAAGACCCGATTTGTAAGCCTTTTCAATTCGAAGCTAGTAACTTTGTAAATATTTCAAATTGTATTGTTTTTGCTAGAACATACTTTAATTTAATAATATAGCATTGTGGTTGATATACATATAGATTTCCTTTTTTTGCAAACCATTTTCTAATAATGATAACTAATATTATTAATAAAAACTCTTGGATTTAATGGATTTGACACTTGGTGTAATTATTGAAACCATATAACAAAAATAATTAAATATATCATATTATATATTAAAGAACAAAATTATGTATTTTTAACAATATATAGTTTTGCTATTGCTTTTTGTAAAGTTCAATTTTAATCATAATAGTAAAATTATTTTACTGTTTTAGTTTTATTACGTAGTATTTTAAGTTAACAAATAATATATATATATACTGTAGTAAGCTTTGTTATAAGAAAAACGATAATTATTTTTTTAAATTTTTTTTTATAATGTCAAATCGTAACTTATACTATATTAGCTTTTTGCATTACTATTACATATAGTTACATTACATTTGTGCTATTAGAATCTATTTTGCTTCTAGACACCCAACGTAACATTTTTCTATATATATTTTGTAGCTTTCACTATGTATTACAAATTGTTACTAAACTACTGGTAAGGTTGTAATCACTTTGTTGTACTATTAACTTTTTTCTATTACTTTCATTCTAACTGCAGCTTATTTGTCTACTACTTGCAATAACTCTTCCTTCTTTCAAATTGGTTGATTTTTGCAGTTTCTTGCTTTTGTTACTACTAATTTGGTATACATAGCCTAACATACTTTATAGTACTATATCGGCATGATTAAACTTTTTAAGATCCAGGTTATCAATATTAAAACTAACAAAATCCTGATAAAATAGCAATATTCTGATAAAATGATAAAATCTTAGTAAAATTAAAACAAATTTGAAAAACCTAAGTTAAAATATTTTGTATATAATTATTAACAAAATATAATAAAATTTCTATAAATGCAAATAATCATCTGGATCAAATTTTTCAAAATGTTAAACTACAGAAAAATAATATAGTTAATATATTAAATTTTATGAAAACTTTTTTAAAACACTAAATATGCATAGTAAGCATTGAAATAGAATTAAAAAATATTATCATTTTGTAATAACAATTTAAAAAAATTCTGAAATCATAGAAGAAATAGTTAATGAAAGCCAAAAGTCTTTTATAATATAAATAATAAAGTTGAATATATTATTTCTATATAATTATAAAATCTACAAAGAACTTTCAGAAAAGTTAAATATCTATAAAAGTTATATTTTGGTTCATCTCATATCTTTTCTTTTTTTTAAGAAAAATTTTATAAAAAATAAATGATTTAGTTTATCTTTTTCAAAAGATCAATATATAAAATGAATGTTTACATTCTAATTAAGATTATATAAACAATATAGCAATACAAACACAACTTATACATATATCTTGAATTGCTAAAACCTCATTAAATACTGTTTTTAAACTAACTAGTAACTTATACTGATTCTTTATATTCAAGTTAAAATTTTATTCTATATAGTTTTTGCTAAATATTCTAACTAAATAAAAAAATAATAGAGTTAATTATATTTAGTATAGTTTATAATTTTTAAAAACCAGAGATAGGGTTCTATAGCCTAGTGGTCTAGGCGCTTTTCTCTTCACAGACAAGGTCGACAGTTCAATTCCAGCTGGAGGCAACTCTGTAATCTACAGAAGCATATAAATATATGTGAAACCCTGTGGCTAAGTCTATATAATTAGAAGATTAGTATATAAGGAAGTTTCCAAAAAAAGATTCCTGATATAGAGAGTTGATGTTTGATGTGAGAGAAGTAGTGAACATATCAGAAATGAAGAGAAGGTGCACTAGTGAGTAATATAGTGAACATAAAAGGAAACTATAAAAAAGGAATAAACTTACTGAAATTCGAACACTTCTGATACCAAACTGGTTCTAGTAGATACAAGATATACTAAAATTGGATAAATCTAAGGAGTAATCTTGATACTATACTTAATAAGTTTGTGTCAAGGGTAAATTTGAAAGGACTATAGATACTTAGTAACATCCAATGAGGTAGTACTTAAATATAATAGTAATTAGATAGTCCTAACCTGTTCTGTCATAATCATAGTAGTATACATTATATATATATATAGTTAAGTATTGAAAATCAGAAAGTTTAAATAAAAGACTCACAGATAGGTTTCAGATATAGCATCTAGTAGGTAACCTATAAGCAGAACCCTTAATTAGATAATAACTAAAGTTATATATATGACTAGTTGTACTTTTGTTGATATATCCTATATATAATATATAATCTTATACTACTACTAATAAAAAGACACACAGGTGAGACTGCCCTTAAAATTAAAAAAAAAAAATTTTTAAAAACCTAATACAGACTTATAATTATGACTATCTAATAGTTATGTAATGAGAGTCATATATATTTTTTATTTTTTTTTATTTTATCCTTTCTTTTTTTATTTCTTATATTGTATCTTTTATTATCTTTCTTTATACCTTTATGTTTTTTTATATATAAGTTTTTTTGTTTTTGTTCACTTTATTATAAGAAGATGTTATTAAATTAGCAATATCTTATTATAAAATAGTAATTAGATGTATTCATTAGTGTATTCTAATTTTTTATAAAGTTAGATAGTCAGTATAAACAAATTGCTTATAAAACTTGTAA